GTACAGCGTGCGTCTCCCTCAGACTGTAACCGAAGCTCAGACACACGTCAGCAGTGTCACTGAACACGGACCCACAACAGAACCGGAAGACAATAAAGTCGTCGTTTTTGTTATTTCTGGACCAAAATGTATTTACGATGCTTCAAAACATTGTAATAACCCACTGATGTCACATGACTACTTTGATGATGTCTTTATTTCCTTTCTGGACAAGGACAGTATTCCATACATACATTTACAATGAAGGGACAGAAAGCTCTCGGACTAAATCTAAAATATCTTAAACTGTGTTGAGAAGATGAACGGAGGTCTGACGGGCTTGGGACGACATGAGGGTCATTAATGACATCATTTTCCTTTTTGCGTGAACTAACTCTTTAAGTAGCATTGTAAAGAGCAGAATAATATACAGTACGGTCAGCAGGTCATTATTGCAAAATAAACCCCTTCCTTCAGACCCGCATCACGTCCTGATCATCCTTTAGAGTTATTTTGTTATAATGAACGGCTGACTATACACCTAAAGGATTATTAGGAATACCTGTTCAATTTCTCATTAATGCAATTATCTAATCAACCAATCACATGGCAGTTGCTTCAATGCATTTAGGGGTGTGGTCCTGGTCAAGACAATCTCCTGAACTCCAAACCGAATGTCAGAATGGGAAAGAAAGGCGATTAAAGCATGTTTAGTTTTATGCATGTTTATGACAACTCAATTAGTGTCATTTGCTGAATTATGACATTTTTAATGCAAATATGACATTGTTTAAAATGAGTTATAATGGCCTCATGTCAGCCAATGTCAAAATCAAGCACCTAACAGTTTAATGTAATGTTAACCCATAAAGCTAAGTGCTTTCTTAAGTTTGATAATTCATGTTTATGACAGGTTGTGTTGTCTTAGTAATGTCAAGTTGTCATGACAAAGACTCTGACAGGTTATGATCTATTGGTTTATGTCAAGTTGTCATAAAGACATTTTAAACAATGTCATATTTGCATTAAAAATGTCATAACTGAACGAATGACAATTAATGACAGTTGTCATAAAATGCATAAAACCTCCTTCATATTCATGGTATGCGTCATGTCATGATTATGAAGACGTCATGTCAGTCTTATGCACACCCCTTCAAGTAAAGTGTTATCCTACAGTGTTTTCAATATCAAATTTATATTCACAAAATGCATATACCGTTATATTTGAGAAGTTTCAGTTGCTGATCTTGCACCACTTTGGACAAAACCCAGTTTCTTCAAAACAAGACAAAACAAGAAGACAGAGAATTACATTTGAGCAACCATCACTTAATAACTGGACATAACTTTGATCTAATGCAAACTAATATTTTATATTATTTATTCTTTATGTGGGTGTTTCTGCAACTATGGTCCTTTTCGACTCCCCCCTCCAAAAAATCAACCCCTTTAAATTTTAATTAATTAATTAATCATTTAAAAATGTACACACAATCACATACCATTCAAATTTTAATCTGGAATATGTAATTATATATATATATATATATATATATATATATATATATATATATATATATAAACAGATAGATATGATTTTCTTTATGCCATGGAAAAGTTAGACAGTTAGCTACCTTAGAAATCAATTAGTTCATAAACACAAAAGATACAATATCTTGCTATATCTTGAAAGGTGAATGAATTGTCATTTTAATGTGTAAATCAGATGTACTAAAGTGGTACAATGGCATTTTGTTATAATATTATAATGATATATTATAATATATTATATATATTATAATATTTTTTAAAATACACAATTATGTAGCATACAAAGTTGTGTGGTGAGGACACACAATAAATACTTCAGAAGAAAAGATGATATTTATCTTTTTTTTTTCTGGGTCTTGTGGGGGACTTAAATGTGGGCTGCCAACCTGGCAGCCATGTGCTAATTTCTGTTTCCATAGAAACTAGACAAATGCTTTATTTAAAGTATTTTTCATAGTGTATGACAAAGTAAAGTGATGTTTAACTAATTATTTTGAAATAATGTCAAATTTTAAAAGAATTAGCTCATTTTACATACCTCAGGATTGTTGAGACATGAACAAAAATTGTGTTTTAACCTATGAATGTTTCATAATTTTTCATTAAATCATATAAACCAGTAACTATTTTTATGCCAATGTATGAATGTGTTTGTACTAAACATCTGACTAATTTGAACATAAATCTCAAATCTGCCGTAACTTTGTGCCATTAGTTGCAGAAACACCCATAAACTGTATGTATTATGAAGTTGTTAGTGAGTTTCCGAAACCGAACCTGTCCAGCGTGTTCGCGTCAAACGCCTCGGCGAAATAAGCTTCTTCCGGTGTCGCGGCAGGTCCGTTTCCGTTCTGAACAGCAGAGTTCGTTTCAACAGGTTTAAAAGCAAGCAAATATAACTCTATAAATACGTTTTATGTGCATTGGGTCACACACCGCAATATAGCCATTATATTTACCTGTGATCCACTGACGTGAGCCAAACACAAACAGAAGCCAAAGAACAAATGCTGATAGCGCATCATGTCTGCACCTGTGAGCAGGAACAGTCGTCTGAGGAAGATTAGACTTAATAAATATCCCTATTTCTGTCCCTCAACTCTATTTTTAACGAGTTAGTACGGGAGCCTATATTAAACCTTGACTTGTTAACGCGCGTTATCATCTTCCTGTATTTATAGGTTAATAAACGTGGACTTTGATCTCTGTCCTTCTGAGCCCTTGGGCTTTACATATAAGACGGCAAAGGAATAAGGAATCATTGACGGATGCACTTCACAATGCTTACACTACACACACACACACACACACTAAACAAGTCCAGTAATTCAACAGTTCGGAGTCACTGGTGCCAGTATCACCTCAAGACATTTTTTTTTCAGTTGTTTCAATCATGAAGTCATAGGAAAGAGGCATAATATCTGAGATTCATCTTTTTACGTGGGGAAGTTGCTGGAAAAGCATGTGCTGGACCCAGGAGGAAACATAGTTTAAAGGAGTAGTTCACTTTTACAAAAACTTTTGCATTTTGATAATTTACTCACCCCCATGTCATCCAAGATGTCCATGTCTTTCTTTCTTCACTCAAAAAGAAATTAAGGTTTTTGATTAAAACATTCCAGGATTTTTCTCCATATAATGGACTTCAATTGGAACCAAATGGTTCAAGCGCAACTGTTCAAAGGGCTTTAAACGATGAATGAGGGTCTTATCAAGCGAAATGATCACTTATTTAAAAAAAACGTAAGTTTTATCATCTCAAATGGTTGCCTTGCTCTGTTCTGTGATGCGCGTTTGTGACTCTCCTGTTCGAACACGTTCATCAAAATGAACAAATCTTTTCCTGAGTCAACTCGTTCATTTCGTTTGCTAAATGAACCAAATGACACGAAAAAAAGATTCGTTCATTTTGATAAATGAGTTCGAACAGGAGTCACGAACGTGCATCACAGAACAGAGCAAGGCGACCATTTGAGCTTATAAAACTTAAACTTTGTAATTTTTTTTTAAAATGAGCGTTCGTTTCGCTAGATAAGACCCTTATTCATCGTCTGGAATCGTTTAAAGCTGCACTGGAACTGTCTTTTGGACCTTGAACCGTTTGGTTCCCCTTGAAGTCCATTATATGGAGAAAATCGTGGAATGTTTATCAAAAACCTTAATTTCTTTTCGACTGAAGAAAGAAAGACATGGACATCTTGAATGACATGGGGGTGAGTAAATTATCAGCAAAAGTTTTTTTTAAAAGTGAACTACTCCTTTAACTGCAACTTCTACAGGGGTGTACGAAGGTCATGGTTCTTCACATTGTTAATATTAACAAACCCATTTTTTTTATTTTATTCTAGTTTTAATCTCTTTTGTGCGTGTTTCTGAAGGTAATGGTCTGAATAATGCTTGTTTGGTGACCCCAGGGTTCAGATGGCAGCGCTCGCACTTATTCAAACGAACCGCACTAACAGAGCAATCGCACCAGGGTTCGTTTTAATCCAACCAAACATGCCAAGTGTAGCCTGGATGCCAGCCTGAACTCCGCCCACAACATTTTTTGGTCGGGAAGTTCGGTCTGGACTCGATCCATTGAGGAGTAATTATGATCAGGCAAAAAATGATCGGGCCAATCAAATTGCCAGGGCGGGCTTTATACGATGATGGACAGATGATCTGCAGGGACGTAATCATCAGAGTTATCTGCTGTCGCGTCTTTTGTAAAATAAATCGCCAGCGCATTCATTTTAATAGACAAACAGAGAACTGCAATCAAGGCATTTGTCGATCGGAAAGATATTTTTGGCGTCCTTCCTACATGATTCGGGAAAAGTGTAGCTTATCAGCTGGCTCTGACGGTCGTTAAGAAGATGGGACGTAATGAAAAGCCTGTGGTCGTTGTGGTTTCTGCTTTGGTGGCACTCATGGAGAAGTCAGTAAAAGAAGCAACACTCGTTATTTAACTTCTAAAATAAATAAAGTTAGGCTACGTTCTGTATTTGAAAACGGCGCTATGCAAAGTAGCCGACCCATCTTTGACGTCGCAAGGTTATGCACATGTTCAAAGTCTTATAGTGTATCTCTGTGGCAGAATTACAGCGCCCCATACTGGTCTGGCATATACTACAACGTTTTCAGTCGGTTTCAGTGGTTTCGTGTGTACGCAGATATTTCTTGAGACGACGCCGTATTTACTTTTTTTTTTTTTTTTTTTACGAGGGAAAAAAAAAATATCGGATAGGGAACGCACAAGCTTCGTGTGGACGTGGTCTAAAATGCAATGGCAGATTTCAAATCACCATCTCTTTCTGCATTAGCAAACAAAGTGCCAATGAGACTCTAACGGACAGGTTTCTCCACCAGGTCCTCCTTGGTGAAGATCTGAACTTGCATCAGACGTTTGACAAATCAAACGGTATTTCTACAAATCGCCGGTTTGATCCTGTTTGACTGAATTAACACACAAACAGAAAACAATATCATGTCAATAATGTTCTTTAATGTCAATATGTACATCACCTGAAAGAAAAAATAAAATTTTAAAAATAAGTGAAATAAATACAATATGATACAATTTCCACAATGTCTTTAAAAAGTTTCATGGAATATTTTTTTCCCCTCCACCTGGAGCAGAGAGATGTGATTTCATGGATTCAATCTCATCTACATTCATTCACCTCATTCGATTTTATAAATATAGATTTATTTCTTCACCTTTTGCTCATGTACTTCCCATTCAACAAAAGGCAAAGAGCGGTCTGAGACGGGAACAGATGGAGGGAGAGGAGCGCCTCGCAGAAGCAACGACCTGCCCAAGCCTCAGTGCAAATGTGCTCAAGGTTCCACACAAACGTAATGAACGACTTATAATACATCGAGCTAAAGAACGCGTAACACTGAGTGCTTCTGAGGTAATGCCATGTGGTTCGCAACACTAACAGGACAAAAAGTGGCTTAGAAATGGATAAGTCATCTCAGTAAATCCACGCCAGTTTTTAGGACCATTAAGATGTTTTGCACAGTAATGTTTTAAGGTTCCTTTGCCCGATTCCCATCCATTTAATGTTGAAAAACTAGTTTCATTTCAACTGTTACGTACCACATACGGGTGAATTTAACGGAAAACCCTCCTGATGACATTCGTTTCTGTACACCAGGGTTAGAAAATCTAGGGAATGGTCCTAAAAACAGGTTGATGACCTGGACGTTTCTTCACGAGATCTGGGTTTCCATTGGGCAAGAACATTCGAAACAGCTTGCTTATGCGTGAAACACTTCAGACACGATGGAGAGATGGAGCTGGTGTTTTTCACTCTACCAGAGAGAAACAAAAGGGGCTTTCGTGCGTTTCCTCCCAAATGGCGCGCACTCCCTGAAGCATCACGTACGGGAACTCGGCAGGAGATGCCAACCCTCGGAGACGAGCACAGGGACGTCACGAGCTTCACGACATGTCTGTGGACGTCAGCTTCTTCATGTTCCTGCGCTGAGCTAGACTGGAGGCAGCTACGGGTTCCAGAACCGGCTTGCACGTCTTGTGGTTCAACGCCGAGTACGTGGCAGCCATCGCTCCCTACGAGAGACACCGTCAATCTCAAGCAGAACTTCCATCTGAAGCCGGACATGGAATCAAGAAACTCAAGACATACCTTGACCAAATGAGGCGCTTCGTGGCGCGTGAGCTGAAAGTGAGGGTTCTGGTCCCGGCAGGCGATCCACGAGTGTTTCAGTACCTGTTCTGCTGAGTATCTCTGATGAGGGTCCACGTGCAGCATGTGAGACAGCAGGTCCTGCCAACACACAGGTAAAACACTTAACCCTCAGGTGCTCTTCGGTCATTTCTGACCGAAAAATGTTCTGTTCTGAAATTTTTAAAATCACAGCTTCATCGGAATGTTACGAAACTTGGTGACTTTTATGGCATAGGGTATGTGAACACAAAAAAAAATTGAGTTCATGATCCGAGCAGGCTAAGTGGTCGTAAAAAAAATAGTCACACTTGTGCTCTTCGGTCAAAAATGACCGACCATAGGAAATGAATGGGAAATTGACAAAAACACAAAAACTTTGAGAATTGTTGTGTGTACAATCTACAAATCGGCCACGATGCAGAAAAAAAGTGCTCAGCATTGAAGGGGTGACACTGTAAAACATCAAGAGTGCAAAACAGACATACTCACCCCTACGCACACAGATACACACTTTTATACACAAAAACACCAATAAATTGTGATTAAAGAAATCTGTTTTGAATATTTAAAAATCACAGCTTCTTCAGAAAATTACAAAACTTGGTGACTTTTATGGCATTGGGTATGTGAACACACAAAAAAATTGAGGTCATGATTCGAGCAATGTAAGTGGTTGTAAAAAAATGAGACACACTTTTGCTCTTCTGTCAAAAATGAAAACCCATAGGAAATGAATGGGAAATTGATACAAAAAAAAATTCTCTGAATTTTTGTGTACAATCTACAAATCGGCCACGATTCTAAAAAAAAAAAAGTACACCGCAAGAAAGGGGTGACACTCTACAACATCTAGAGTGCAAAACAGACACACCCACCAACACACACACACACACATACAAACACACTTTTATACACATACACACTAATACATTTTGATTACAAAAAGTATGTTTTGAATTTTTAAAAATCACAGCTTCATCGCAATGTTACGAAACTTGGTGACTTTTATGGCATTATGTATGTGAACACACAAAAAAATTGAGGTCATGAGCATGCTAAGTGGTCTTAAAAAAATAGTCACACTTGTGGTCTTTGGTCAAAAATGACCCCATAGGAAATGAATGGGAAATTGTAAAAAAAAAAGAAATTTTTTTTTGAATATTTGTTTGTCATTTTTTTTTATAAGAAATAGTTTTTGAGATTGTTTCAACTATATATACAAATCCACCAACAACAACAACAAAAATGTGTTGATAAACAGCTGTGGAATTCACATGCCTCTCAATAGAGAGTTGTACATGCCATCAAGTGGTTACACCATGATTCTACGCTTTTTCTCTATACTGTAACCAGATGGTGCTAATTTTCTTCAAAAAATATTTTTTTTCTGAAGGCCTAGACTCTATATTAAACTAAAATACTGCATTAATATTTTTTTAAAGAAAATAATATATATATAGAAAATAATATATATTTTTCTATGGCAAAAATAAACCATAAATATTGCATACATATTAATAAATTCATTTAAATTGTCTCAAAATACTAAATTAAAAAGAATAAATATTATAGAAGAAAAATAAATTGCATTGGTTTTACTGGGATGGAGAAAGTTTCATTTTTAGGTGTCCGGTCACTTTTGACCGGGAAGATAACAAGTGTGACTCCGAAACGAAGAGCACCTGAGGGTTAAAGAAACCCAGAGTGTGTCCAGATACTGATGGGATTTCTGCACACTGCTCTTGAAAAGCACTCGAACCACCATACAAACAGTGAATGTGATTTCCCCAAGAAGAACCAGCGCCTGGATCATCATCCTTGATCCTGACACAACATTCAAATCAACCAATCATATTATGGATAGGTTTACAATTAATGACAAGTTTAGGCTTATAACAAGGGTTTGGGGCTTTACAACATTTCCCTGATCTTAGGGATAATTCATGGATAGTAGGGGTGTAACGATTCACTCGTTTTCTCGATGCATCGATTACAAATCCTGACGATGCATATGCATCGATCCTGAAACAAAATGTTTTTTAAATCGTGAATCGTTTATTTACCTGAATAATCGATTTAAAAGGCTAAGAATTGATTTAAATCGCGATTCTATAGCGATTCAGTGGTTTAAAATTTATAAACACTATCTTGTGTTGTGAGAACTGCTGAAAAAAATTGCAAATTGGTGTGTCACTGCCACATATTCAGGACATCTACAGAGAGCGTTGTGTGTACAGAGCAAATTGCATCATTAAGGATTTTACTCATTTCTCATGTGCCATGTTCATACTCCTTCAGTCTGGTAAAAGATACAGAAGTATCAGGGCAAGAACTAGTAGGCTATTAAACAGTTTCTTTCCCACAGCTATTAGACTTCTTAACCAGAGAACAGGATTTGAACTATATATTTATTTACTATTATTATTATTCTATTTATTTTAGTAAATCTTTTTATCTTTTTAATGTATTCTAGTATTCTTATAATTATATTTAAATAGTGCACTGAAATACTAAATAGTGTATGTGTGAAACACAATTTCGTTTTTTATGGACACCATGAAAATGACACTGAAATTAAAGTGTTCTTGGTACAAGCTGCCTCACGCATTGGCTGTAAGACACCCAGCATTTGATTGTTCACACACCCTCGATTTCTCACGCTGAAGCCGGTTGGTCAAATGCCTGAAAGATGAGTTTATCTATCTACCTGTTGAGCCACTTGTGTCGTGATCTAGTTATAGCCGCGTGACGCGGCTAGTTATACCGCAAATTAGTTAAAATCTCTCAGAATTTAGAGCGAGCGTGCATAAGAGACAGAGGTTGCGCTCCAAACCGCGTATCGCGTTTGCACACACGGGTCAAGGCCCGTACACACCGGGACGAGTATCAACGCGCGTTTTTCGCTGACGATGAGCCGAGTAAACATGCAAATTCATTCCCTGACATTAGATGGCGCTTAATGTAAAACAGAAATAATAATAGAATACTATACTAGGGTGATCATATTCATGTCTCAATGTTTTATTATGACAGATAGAAAAAAACTAATGAAATAATGATAGAAATAGCCTAATTGTCTTCTGTATTAGAAAAATAAATATATAAATAATAAATTACTAAAAGAAATGCCTCCAAATGTAACAAAAAATAGCTCTCACAAACTTACAAAAACGAACTAACAAAATCTATTTATATCTTTAGTTTTCATCCTCTTTATCTTGTTTTTCTTCCTCATCCACCTTGTTTGCCCATCTATATTTTGCTGTAGAACTGATCTTTCCCAGCAGTTTTTGTTTGAAAACCAGGACATTTTCATCACTTAAAAACAGTCAGGACAGGACGTGGAAACAGGACTGTGTAACGCAAAGTTGAGATGTTGCCCAGCGATAAAAACATACCAGTTGTCGGATGAACAGATGCACGAGAGACGAGAGTTGTCGTATTTCCCCGCGTTTAATAAAACCACTCAAACACACTCGTCCTCCTCATGATACATGGGGATCGAGCGAGAAAAAAAAGAACACAAACAAACATCTGGTCACAATAGAAAAATAAAAAAAAGAATACAAAGAGTCGGCAGAGCGGTTCTCCTCTCCTCACTTGTCAAAATCTAACTGACATTACGCACACTATATGCACAGTTCTCATCTCAACTCAGATTTCTATAAAGCACAAAGTGATCGTTTTACACATGTCACGGGAAAACAGGACTGTTGGTCACCCTATACTATACTATTATTACAGAAATACTAATATAAATATTATCTTATAGCTCTTTATGCTCCGAGACCAGCAGCTCAACATTCATCTTGCCCATAGGTATCTTATCTCTTCTTCGCCGTATGTGTGCTCGGCAAGACCTTTTTGTGTTTGAGCGCCCCCAAGTTGTGTTTTACTGTAACTTCAGAAGTACCAGACACGTGAGCAAACCCGCCAATTTCGTTGGTCGGATAGGTTTTGACGCGGCGCGTCAAACCAAAAAAACGAACCCGAGGCGTTTTTTAAAAAAATGACGCTTTTACGCGTGCCGTTTTCGCGTCGGTGTGAACACTCACATTGGCGCCCATTGTTTAGTCACGAGGCGTTAAACGTCGACGAATAACGCGCGCGAAATTCATCCCGGTGTGAACAGGCCTTCAGAGAGGGGAAGCGAGCGAGAGACCAGTTTGCATGTGCGGAGAGTCTTTCCATGTAATAAATGCCCACCCTTGAATAAAGTGGGCTTTTACTTCACAGCTAATGTCAATGGTTTAGCCCATTTCAGTAAAACTTCAGTATCTTATCTTAAAGAAAATAACTGCAACGTTTCCACGGAATGAAAGCGTTTTATTTCATAGTACCCACGCCATGGCATGGCAGCTTTATCAATGGCTTGAGCGGTTTGTATGGAGCGAAGTATGTGCCTAAACCTCACACACAAACAAAACGTGTTTTACTCACACCCAATGATTCACAAACAAACTCAGTGTGGTTTGTAAATACAAAACATCACTCACAAACTAATGCATATTGTTCTACAAATAAAAAACGTACCTATCAAACAAATACAGTATGTTTTACATATACATAGAAACGTATTTCTTCAATGACCAAAATATCCTGCAAGTACAAACTAAAATCTTTGAAAGTACAAAACAAAATTCTACAAGTACAAAGCAAAATTCTACAAGTACAAAACAGAATTCTACAAGTACGAAAAACTGTCACGTGACTTTTGGCACTATTTTTCCGCGTCCAGGCAGAATCAGATTTTCTCACAAATACAGTGGAACAACTTCCTCTTCTAGAACAGTAGATGGCGCTAAGATAAGGGATCAATTTGCTCGCCTTTGCCCATGGGAAAATGAGCGGTGAACAGGTGTGTTTCTGTCCAACTTTATCTATAATTAACCTTATTGAGGTTTTGGAAAATGTTTATTATATAGACAGAAATCCACATTAGCACTTAGTAGTAACGTACTCCACTCTAGGATAAGGGAATCTATAAGCTGAAAGCTGCCATCATGTTGCTTTTACTTTTTGTAAAAATGTTTCATTTACTGAATGACTCTATTTCTTTCGTTCTCCGTAAATTAATGAGAATTAATTTCATTTAATTGAAAGGGTCCCACTTATTCATTAATTTAGTTGGAATTCAGTCAGCGTAACTGTTAATGTAATAAAATAATGAATGAACAAAACAATATAGGCCTACAGTTGTTTCTTCCTTGTGATGTATTGTCCAAATTATTATTTTGGACAGACAAATGAAACCCTCCTTTCAATTAAATTAAATGGTCTCATTAATGTATGGAGAACGAAAGTAATAGATTCGTTCAGTGAACATAATCACTAATTTAGTCATTTCACACGCGTCTTATGTAGATTATTAGCCTAATATTATTTTTTAAAGCAACATATGACATAGATTTCAGCCTAGATTCCCCTAGAGAGAGTGAAGTGCTAATAGCGGTATGGATTTTTGTCAAGAAATAATTAACATTTTGCAAAAGAAAACCTCAATAAGGTTAATTATATAAAGTAAGACAGAAACACACCGTTCACCGCTCACTTTCCTCAGCTGTAGTAGGCAGTGTTGGGAAAACGTATTTCGTTACAGAATAAATGCCCCAAAATGTCATTTGTAACGTATTCCATTACATTAGCAACTCAATCTGAGGGATTACATCCGCATTGAATTGCCTTTTAGAAGTGTAAGAATTGTGGCCATCTAATTCTGTTTACTAAACTGGCCTATTCTGGTGGGTGCGGTGATGCGGTGGTGACGCGTGTAACATGTAGGGTGGCACTGCCAATAAAGCACCTTAAAGCTGTCACAAAGAACTGGCAAAAGATTATGAATAGGCTATGTAAAATATAGCAAGAAGATATTTTAATTGTTTATTAATAAACAAGTGTATCTTTGTCAGTGTGTCGGCTGAAAACATGAAGTTGACAATGCTGACTCGCGATCTTCGCCGTGAACGTGCCAGGATTAATAATCTAGCCTACAAGACGCGTGTGAAATGACTAAAGTAGTGATTATGTATACACTGAACGAATCTATTACTTTCGTTTCGTTCTTAATAATGAAAACATTTAATTTAATTGAAAGGAGGGTTTCATTTGTCTGTCCAAAATAATAATTTGGACAATACATCACAGGGAAGAAACAACTGTATATTGTTTGATTTGTTCATTCATTATTTTATTACATTAACAGTGACGCTGACTGAATTCCAACAAAATTAATGAATAAGTGGGACCCTTTCAATTAAATGAAATGTTCTCATTAATTTACGGAGAACGAAAGAAATAGAGTCATTCAGTAAATGAAACATTTTTACAAAAAGTAAAAGCAACATGATGGCAGCTTTCAGCTTATAGATTCCCTTATCCTAGAGTGGAGTACGTTACTACTAAGTGCTAATGTGGATTTCTGTCTATATAATAAACATTTTCCAAAACCTCAATAAGGTTAATTATAGATAAAGTTGGACAGAAACACACCTGTTCACCGCTAATTTTCCCATGGGCAAAGGCGAGCAAATTGATCCCTTATCTTAGCGCCATCTACTGTTCTAGAAGAGGAAGTTGTTCCACTGTATTTGTGAGAAAATCTGATTCTGCCTGGACGCAGAAAAATAGTGCCAAAAGTCACGTGACAGTTTTTCGTACTTGTAGAATTCTGTTTTGTAGTTGTAGAATTCTGTTTTGTACTTGTAGAATTCTGTTTTGTACGTGTAGAATTTTGTTTTGTACTTTCAAAGATTTTAGTTTGTACTTGCAGGATATTTTGGTCATTGAAGAAATACGTTTCTATGTATATGTAAAACATACTGTATTTGTTTGATAGGTACGTTTTTTATTTGCAGAACAATATGCATTAGTTTGTGAGTGATGTTTTGTATTTACAAACCACACTGAGTTTGTTTGTGAATCATTGGGTGTGAGTAAAACACGTTTTGTTTGTGTGTGAGGTTTAGGCACATACTTCGCTCCATAGGTTTGCCTCAAAACTATTGCTTTCTCGATAGAGAGCTGGAGAGCTCAAACATGGACTGCTCAAAAAACTGTAGATGAGAGCTATATGGGACAGAGCGCGAGCAAAATGACGCCGCACAATGTCTCCATTTATTTGTGCATGTAGTCATTTAATGCAATACTTTTAAAGCCTTTTAAAATATCGGTTTCTTGGGTTTCTACAAATGCCAATTTATAGGCCATTGAATTTTTTTAATAATATTATATTTATCAAAATTAAGAACAAACATGAACTAACATTATTAATGGACAAAATGTCGTTATTTATTGTTGTCACTATCTGACCCCCGAAGGCCGCTGTGTGATTCAAACCCAGACAAAGACCCATTGGGTGAAGCATTGAAATAATACTATAATCATTACGCATTGAATTGGATCATTCTGAATTTGCACAAATCGTTCTTGAATCGAAAATCGAATCGATTCGCTGTCTACCCAAAGATTCACAGCCCTTATGGATAGGGTTAGGGGCCGAGAGGAATGTTGTTCAAATTAGCTTTAGTTTAAACAAATGTGCTCATCTGAACTAGTGCTACTGACGTCCAATCAAATACAATAACTACTATGGATTGTTATTTTATGTACAATTATGTAATTCAAGCAAACAACTGGATTGTTTTGAACCAACTTTGACAACAATAGCACGCAAAGATACTCTGTAGACGAGAACATGTGATGCACTTCTTTTAGAGTGCACGAGTAAGCATTTTCTTACTTGACCAAAGTGATGTCACATGAAACCAACCAAAATGTATCAGGTCCCCACTACTTTTCCCAATGAATCATGATATCATAGTGCTCAGAAAATCCAAATGGCTTGATTATTGAGTGTGTTTAGACTGTTTGAGGATTAAAAAATGATTTTTTTCATTGAATGGTGGTTGTGTCCATTTCTATGAAAACACCATGAATTTTGCATCCAATGACCCCTTTAAGGACTTAAACAACAACAAACATTATAAAGATTGCACTCAAATATTATATCTATAATATACATTTTAGACCTGGAAAAATGATGAATCATCTTAATTCTGACATGAATGCATCATAATTAATGAAGTGTGGCTCTTCCTCACTTACCTTTGAGGAGTCCGACACAGAATCCCAGTTTCCTCCATTTAGGGAGAATTTTCCACTGCCGATACGTAACAGGATCTCCTCTGGTGTGTCATTGGGTCCATTGGCAAAGGGCGTGTACCTACACAGATTAACAAAAGATCAATGCAACATTATAAACAAAGACGACATCCATATTGGATTCAGAACGATAATCAAAACGTAGAAGATCGATTTCATCAACACCCTCAAAGCTTCAGTCCTGTAGCTCGTCCTCGGTCAACATTTCATTCAGTAACATTAGGCAGTTTTGATTTATATGCTATTTAAATGTTGATGGTCGATTTATTTCGCATCTGCTTACCTATGCTATTGCTTGTTTCTGCTGCTGCACCACATATGTTTAGATCAGGAGATTCCCTACTCTTTCAGAAGGTGTGTAATAGCACCCCTAGCGTATAACAGTGAAAACAGAAAGAGTTAATCTATTCGGACTTTTTTCATGAAGTCTTTACATGCCCGATTGTATACGGATGCTGTGGTAACTACATTACGCTAGTAAGAATAAGTTGCACGTCTCAAACGTTATCCTCATTTTTTTGTAATTTTTGTGATTTTAAAATTCTTCATTACCAGGGTTTGAAATTAACCTTTTCACTCACCGGCCAATTTGGCTACTAAATTTGTAAGTGACCGGCCATTCAGAACTTCTACTAGCCAAAAAACAATACACTCACCTAAAGGATTATTATGAACACCATACTAATACTGTGTTTGACCCCGTTTCGCCTTCAGAACTGCCTTAATTCTACGTGGCATTGATTCAACAAGGTGCTGAAAGCATTCTTTAGAAATGTTGGCCCATATTGATAGGATCGCATCTTGCAGTTGATGGAGATTTGTGGGATGCACATCCAGGGCACGAAGCTCCCGTTCCACCACATCCCAAAGATGCTCTATTGGGTTGAGATCTGGTGACTGTGGGCCCATTTTAGTACAGTCAACTCATTGTCATGTTCAAGAAACCAATTTGAAATGATTCGAGCTTTGTGACATGCATTATCCTGCTGGAAGTAGCCATCAGAGGATGGGGACATGGTGGCCATAAAGGGATGGACATGGTCAGAAACAATGCTCAGGTAGGCCGTGGCATTTAAACGATGCCCAATTGGCACTAAGGGGCCTAAAGTGTGCCAAGAAAACACCCCCCCACACCATTACACCACCACCACCAGCCTGCACAGTGGTAACAAGGCATGATGGATCCATGTTCTCAATCTGTTTACGCCAAATTCTGACTCTACCATCTGAATGTCTCAACAGAAATCGAGACTCATCAGATCAGGCAACATTTTTACAGTCTTCAACTGTTCAATTTTGGTGAGCTCTTGTAAATTGTAGCCTCTTTTTCCTATTTGTAGTGGAGATGAGTGGTACTCGGTGGGGTCTTCTGCTGTTGTAGCCAATCCGCCTCAAGCTTGTGCGTGTTGTGGCTTCACCAATGTTGCATTGAAGCAACTGCCATGTGATTGGTTGATTAGATAATTGCATTAATGAGAAATTGAATAGGTGTTCCTAATAATCCATTAGGTGAGTTTATTTTTTTAATACAATTTGAATTTCATACATTCGTTTCTAATTGCCTACATCAAGCTAATTGCCTGCAAAGAATATGATAAACCATTATACAATAACCATGTAGTAAAAAAAAATTTAAAAAAGCAAAGTACACCTTATGCAAATCTTTGTTTTTTCATTTTCTAGAACTAGTTAAGAAACCTTGCTGTATTTTTGTGTGATTAAGAGAAAGTACACCGCCACCTCACTCCTACAAAAGTGACTTGAACGCACTGCCGTCGTAAACATGACTTCCCACCTCGCAAGAACGAACTTCCCAGGAGGACTTGAACGCACCATAACACGCCAAATTGACCCATGATTTGACGGCGTTACCCACCACAGTTGATTTGTACCCATATTTGGCGAGCGTTAATTTCAAACCCTGTTCATTACATTCTGAATAGGCAGTGATTGTCCTCCTTACAAATTTAACAGGACCAAGCATTTCATTTAAATGAATTGATTACTAATTAAACATTAGATGTCAGTCTTATTAAAGTAAAAAGTCCTAAAGCCCTAACGCAAACAATTTTATCTGTAAAAGCCAATTGGATGGAAGGCAGCAAATTACGCAAACTTTTTCGACGATTTTTCAGAGCGCAAAAGTGTCTGTCCCACTGACCCTGCCAGCATGGTGTAGAGCAGGACTCCCAGACTCCAGATATCACAGGCAGCGTCATAACCCTGACGCATCAGTACCTGCAACACAAAAGACAAAGTCCATCACTTCAATTCAGGACGCGCTCAGGACATGAAGAATACGCAGAGCAGTCGATTCCTCACTTCAGGAGCCACGAAGTTGGCGGTGTAACAGGGTGTGAGCAGCAGTCCGTTGTCTCCTCTCAGTTGCTTGGCAAAGCCAAAGTCACAGATGCGTATGGAGTCAGGGTTTCCTGAATCGTCCATGTAGAGGATGTTGCTGGGCTTCAGGTCCCGATGCACCACCTGCGTCAGGAACACAGCCCGTCACAACACCAGTTCATTCCAGTGGCTTATAACCATTCACACTTGTTAACAGGGCTGGGGGATATGAATCAATTACATTTTTAAGGTTAAAAATCAATGCAGAGATCTAAAACAATGGTTCTCGAACAGGAGGGCCAGTGACCACTAGGGGGCCTAATAAGTCTTACAGGGCTCCAGACTAACTTTTTTCACCTCCGTCCTGAAACCGTCCTGAATAACCATTTGAACCGTCCTAGAGTGAATGTCAACCGTCCCAAAATAACATTTCTGTTGTTTCTGTACTTTGTTCTGTTATCATCTACCATCATGTATATCATCTATTGTTAGTTGTTAGTCACATACTAAAAACAACATTAAAGTTTTTATGATATATAGTATTATATTTATTTAGCTTCATTCCAAGTAGTTCTCTGTAAAAAGATAACACAGATTTAATAAAAATTAATCTATTAACCTGTTAATATGAATGATTTTAAAGTTTAGGTGTCTATGGCGGCATGCTTTGGTCGTGTGTACAGTGTATGCGCACAGAAAACCGCACTGAATAGGCTTTAAGTGCACTTTACTCATTCATTCTCACAGACGTTTACATTTTTTAACGTTTTATGAGACATGCGTGTCAACTCGCGTGCCGCTGGGTAGAGCACGTAACAGTAGGCTTCAAATGTGCGCATCTACCACAAACGCAGGACAGCAGTTCTGACTGGATCTCTAGCCAAATGCAGGCATGTGATTGGCTAAGGACAAAAAAAGCAGGGAAATATACCCCCCCCCCCCCCCCCGATCAATATATATCCCAATATCTTTTCCGCAAAGTGAGAGCAAATGTTCAATCAAAGTCAAATATAGTCTTCACTGTATAAATTATACATTGATTCTTATTAAAACTACTATTAAAGTTCTCAGTCAAGAGCAGCGAGTGATTTCCTCTGTGTTTTGTTGTTTAATTAACATTAAATAGATACTTCTCCCAAAAATTGTAATTGTCATCATTTACTCTCTCAAGTTGTTTTAAACCTGAATAAGTTTCTTTTTTCTGTTTAAGTTATTTGGAAGAATGTGGGTAACCAAACAGTTGATGTACCCCAGTGATTTCCATAGTAATATTTTCCCTATGGAAGTCAATGGGGACCAGAAACTGTCTGGTTATCCACATTCTTCAAAATATTTTTTTTTTTTTTGTTCAGCACAAGAAATAAATTAATACAGGTTTGGAACAACATTACAGTGAATAAATAATGACAGAATTTATATTTTGGGGTCAACTATCCCTCTACGAACAAGCGGCTGCATTTTTATTATTAGGGCTACTGTCACTTTAAGACCTGTACGCGACACGTCTAATATACACGGAGCATTTGACAAGCAGATTTCTCTCAATTTTCTCGGTTTGCTTTGAATTTAGACATAACCAAATGTTCTTATGTAAACCTTGTGTGTATTTGAGAGTATTAGCGAAATAATACTCGAAAGATAACTTAGTCCAGCAACCAGGCGCTGTTAGACAAGCTTTTAGTGCATGTGCACGTCGGGTGTTCGCGCTCAGAACAGCGCATCATGTTTAACCGGCAAGGCTTTAAAGCACATGCAAATTAACTTTTGTGAACTCTGTAGCTGAACTGATGTAGCCGTTCCTCTGCGTTAATATTGCGAGTATTTGTCGCGTTGTACACTAATGCTGTTGAGACGGAGGTGTCAGAACTGCAACTGACAGAATGCACGATATAGCTGCTACATATTTCTACAAAAGCAGTCAGCAGCTTGCTTGGAGCAATGGATCATAGCGCAAATTTGAAATATATCGATATATCGCCCAGCCCTGGTGACCTAACTGTGATGTTGTCAACTGACAACGATACCAGCGCGAGAGCGACTAGAGATACGAAATTGAGCAGGTGAACAAGCTGAACCAATTAGACATTCTCTGGCTGAACGCAAATACGTCCTTGTTGATACTTTGAAAGGAACTTTCTGTACGCACGTCAGCCAGTTATGGGACCTCATATTCTCTCCTTTTCACTCCGGCTGCCGACACCATTCCCCCTCTTTTTTTTTCTTTTCTTTTTTTTTACAGATCTGCATGATTCACGTAGGTCACATTTTCAGGTCGGAAAATCCGGAATTCCGGATTAATACGGAAAAATCACATCCCTGCAAATGGTCACTATCTAACATTTATGTCTAGTTTTTATTCATTGAATATCAGTTGTTTAACCAGCACAACGTATTTGCGATGTCATGAAGCCATTTGATAGATGTAGCCTACCGTGGAACGAGTCTCCGCGAGTAGCCGGCCAGTGATAGTAACTATAGCAACGAAGACGCGCTCCGTCGTAGTCAGCGCTTTGTCGGTTAATTTTGGCATTTGGCACAAGTTAGCCTAATAGGCTAGTAATAAATGAACACACACACAAAAATGTCTTTCGTCCTGTAGGCGTCCTGGAGAATATTACTGTTCGTCCTAAACACATTTTCTATCGTTCCCAGGACGATAGGACGCCGTTAGTCTCGAGCCCTGGTCTTAATCGTCCAAAATCATCCGTATTTTCGTGCAGTCAAGTATTTGACCGTTTGAGTGCAATAGGCTGCGAAAGAGAGATGAATTCAGGATCACACGCTGTCCGAGAAACGGCTTTCTGTGCGCGCGCTTCAGGTGTGTGTCATACAGCGCCTGTACAGCAGTTAGTTGTTTTCCGCAGTTTATTGCGCTTAACTCTTTTTAACATCAAGTTCTCTGTTTTATGTGCTGACCTAAATCTGACTTTTTGCAGCAGCCTATCAAAATCTTTCAGATATCGCAAGCCAAAACTAATCATTTTAAATATGCTTCATCTTTCATTTTAAATTCTTAAATTTGATCAATAAATTAAATTAGAATAATAAGACACTATGGGGCTGTTACCAATGAAGTAAAAAAAAATTACACTGAAAAATTACAACTGCATTAAATAATGTTATGAGATCATTTTAAATATTTTACAAATAAGAAATAGTGGAAAGGATGATACTTTAAAACACAAACCTAAACCACCAGTAGGTGGCAGCAAGCGACCGTCTTAATGAGAGAGTCATTTATTCAAACGATTCGTTCAAACTGCTGATACGTTCAGGAAAGTAGGGCTGGGGTAAACGATTATTAACTAAACGATTAGTTGAGCGATTATTTTATCGATTAGTCGACTAATCTAATGACTAATTGGACGACTAATATAAAGAATATTTTTTCTGCTGCTCAATTAATAAAAAAACAATATCTCAAATAAATACTAGCATACTGAATCAAGATACTATAAGCTGGCTAACGTTAGTCTAATGTTATGTATTTGAACACACCATCATCATAACTCTACAACCGCCAAAACCGTGTTATTAAAATATTTTTTACAAACATTTTTTATCATAGAGAATGTTTAAATATTAATATCAGCTGAGGAGGGAAACGGAGTCGGAGGCGGAGTTCACCTACTGATCAGAGCGCGTGCTGACACAGAGTTAAAGCCTGGTTTATACTCGACACGTCCGCACGAGCGCGAATGTGCGCATGGCAAAAATGACCCGTTGTGGCTGGCTGTGTGTATGCCTTTTTTTGTAACAGCGCGCCCGGCGCCGCGTCCGGGAACCACTTTCAAGCCGAATCTGCCCGAGCTTGTACGTCTCACCACACCGGCACCCAGTTTGCGCATCTAAATTGCGATTTTCTTTTCTTAAGGGTTTGTTTACTGTGTGTGATTCATTTAATGGATAGCACATTCACTTCTAGTTGTCTTCGTCCTCTATTCTGAAATGTTTCGGTCTCCCACGTGTGTGTGGCAAGCTGTACCGCCGGGAACATGCAAAAAATAAATAAATAAAGAAGCGTCGACGCAAAAATATGACGTCGACGCAATTTTGACGTCGAACCATCGACGTCATCGACGCGCCGCTACAGCACTACAGGAAAGAGACAGATGTTTATGAATGGGTCATTGAATCTTTGATTCGTTCAAACGCAAAATCAATCAGTGATTAAAACACATTTAGGCGTTCCTGTGAGATGCGTTACGGTTCTGCTGTGATCTTTGTTTGGAACTATTTATCCTGCTAAAAATGGAACAAAAACAGTCAATATTGCATCTAAAATGAAAGTTGCTTAATATGAATTACTTGTTTATTGAACTGTCATATGAAACCAGTGCCAAATTTTCAGTCGTGATGGTATTCACTCTTGGTCGCGTGATGTTGCTTATAGGGAAGCTCATTTCGGTTAAGTTTTCCGGCCGACAAAATCGATTATTAACCGTTAACTAAAAAGATTATAATATTGAACTGGCATTAAATAAAAATAAAATTGACGCGTATCCAGGATCCCGTTAAGAGTACAAACAGTTTTTTTTTATTTATCATAGGGTTTATTTTAACGCGCAAAGTGCAAACAGCAGCATACAGAACAGATCAGCAACAGAACGTTCAGATCAAATATTCACGCAAATATCAAATATTCACGTAGCATTTCTGACAGTGACAACAGAGAAAAACAGAATAAAAATAATACAAATAAAAAACATAAAATTGGCCAACACTAAATATATTTTTTTAACTTAAAGGATTAGTTCACTTTTGAAAAAACTTTTGCTGATAATTTACTCACCCCCATGTCATCCAAGATGTCCATGTCTTTCTTTCCTCAGTCGAAAAGAAATTAAGGTTTTTGATGAAAACATTCCAGGATTTTTCTCCTTATAATGGACTTCCATGGGAACCAGGTCCAACCCGAGGTCCAAACGACAGTTAATAACAGTTTCAGATGCAGCTTCAAATGTCTTTAAACGACACCAGACGATGAATAAGGGTCTTATCATGCGAAACGATCGGTTATTTCAAAGCTTATTCCAAAAATGTAACTCCTTTCTCCATTCTGTGAGGCGCGTTTGCAACGTCACGTAATACGTAATTACGTTCAAAAGGTCACGGGCGACGTAGCCGGAAGTACAGAATCAAAATCGTCCGACATCGTTGTTTTTACCTTTTAATTCCTTTTTTGTAAACGGCGTTTGAGTTAGTTTGCACGTTCAACCTATGCGTTCAACTTGTAAACACTCTGACTCTGTACTTCTGGCTACGTCGCCCGTGACCTTTTGAACGTAATTACGTGTTGCGTGACGTTGCAAACGCGCCTCACAGAATGGAGAAAGGCTAGCATTTGTCCTTAGAAAAGTTACATTTTTGGAATAAGCTTTGAAATAACCGATCGTTTCGCATGATAAGACCCTTATTCATCGTCTGGTGTCGTTTAAAGACATTTGAAGCGGCAACTGAAACTGTTATTAACTGTCGTTTGGACCTCGGTTGGACCTGGTTCCCATGGAAGTCCATTATAAGGAGAAAAATCCTGGAATGTTTTCATCAAAAACCTTAATTTCTTTTCGACTGAGGAAAGAAAGACATGGACATCTTGGATGACATGGGGGTGAGTAAATTATCAGCAAAAGTTTTTTCAAAAGTGAACTAATCCTTTAAGATCAAAAAAAGAAAATACTGAATCCGTTTGAACGAATTGTTTTTTAAAAACGGCAATTTTTATCCGTTAGACGAATAAAATCAGCAGCCCTACCTTAATCCACACCTTGTCTAATTTTTATTTTAAAAAAGCAACATGTCAACATGATGTGGGGTTAGTCTTGTGGGCAAAGTGTCTTTTACTACCATTCTCTGCGTTATCTCCTCAGATCACCGTGCGTCGCATCTTCTCCCTGATAACATGGTGGATAAAGTTTGTTGTCCTTCATCACTCGATGCTCGTGGATGTTTGCTTCGCAAATGATTCTGCATCGGACTTGCACTACTCCCTATTTTAATACCACGCAGCATATTTTACAGGTAACTTCGTCACCCTTTCTGTTGAAATATTCCCACACAGTACTTTTTCGCTCGCATCATTTTGCTTGCTCTGAAAAAAATGTCTGCAGGCACGTGTGTGGTTGCGTGTCGACACGCCCCTAACTTAAATAAATATAAGCTACAGAGTTGTTGTTTTTTAACATGCAGTAAACTAAAAAAAAAGTTTAAACTGTTTAACTGATAGTATTAATTGGTAAATTTTTACTTTCGGTTAATGGTTAAATGGTCAATATGAGCATCCTTAGTTGCTTAACTGGACATTTTGAATTTTTACCGCAGTATGTTAACAGAGTTTTTTGTGTGTGTTTCCATTTGTCCTCATGAAGCTTTGCGAGCCTCAACAGCACCTTGTTTCCATCAATACATTATATATTATATTATTATTCACCATCAATCGTCACACTAAACTAATGCAGAATATTCATGTTTTGGGGATTCCCTAGATATGTTTTGTTATTGATGTTTTAATCAGGCTACTTGACCGTTTCTATTCACTAGTCGCAATATGTAAATAACTAGAAGAATCATAGTGACCATAAAACAATTTGCAGTACAACCAGTGATTGATTACAATAATAATTTAATACTAATAACAGTTTGCAATACCACTTTTTTTGTACAGCTAGAAAAACCGGAAGTAGCCGACACCAGAACCCTTACACAATCAAGGTAAAAACGTGCGTCTCACCCCCTGGCAGTGCAGGTAGTCCACAGTTTTGGTGATAGTGTACAGCACAGCGCTGGCCTCTCGCTCAGAGAAGAACTTCTGCCTCAGGATCTTATCCAGCAGCTCACCGCCCTTCATGAGCTCCGTCACTAGATACACGAAACGACCCTCGTCATACACCTGAGTGACACATACACACACACACACACACACACACAACTTAGTTACTCTTACACAGAGCTGAGACGTTTGAGATCAGAGTCATGACACTCACATCCTTCAGTGTGATGATGTTGGGATGCTGGCCATACCGCATCAGGATCTCAATCTCCTCCGATGGGTCTCGCTTGCTTTTGTCAATGATCTATTAAACACACAGTGAAAACATCACACCAGAACACAGCATGGACACACACGTTCATGCGCAAGGTGACTCATTGAGGCATCAGGAATCATTAGTGGTGAAACAGATCGCAAAATTTACGGTTTTTGAGCCACGGATAAGACCATTTTTCGGATCATACTATCCTAACTAGGGGTGTAACGGTACATGTAATAATATTGAACCGTTTCGGTTCGAGGCTTCCGGTTCGGTACGCATACAAACCGAACGATTGCTTGGACCATTTTTCCGGCCGGCAAAATTCGTGCTGACGCGGCCAACACAACGTTGCGTAACATCAAATGGCAAGCGTAATGAAAGCAGAACGAAACTGCGCTACTCGTTATGTGCTTCTCATGGATCGTTTATCAGTTCGGACCAGCAACATCTGTGCAGCGCGAGCCGATCTCGATCAAGCAACACTGTTACCACACCGCGCTAAGAGATCCGGGAAAGAACACATTTGAATTCGCCACTGAGGTAATAACATCGCTGCGAGATCTAGTGAGATGCATTCACATTTCTCCGTTATTAACCGTAGATCTCTATTAGATCAAACAGCGCTGTCATGGAAACCAGGAGAAACATTGTGCCGTGAATGAACTAGTAATACTTTCGTCCACAGACCAGCAACATTCACCACGGATTTAATATAGTAACACTAACTGGAACCAGTTTGGCTGGAATGGTGAAATGCTTTCAAGTACTTCACACATCTTTTTCCAGCACTTCAAAATTCAAACATTATCTAAATAAATATATATTTAAATGTTATTTTTAATGTGATGACCAAAACATTATTTGTTCATCCTTCAAAGATGACCCCCATTTATAAACCTGAAAGTTTCAAGATCTAGGAAAACTCGCACTTATTTAAAAATGACGGTTTGTTCCTTAAACAAATAGGAAATTTCTCTGGCATTTCCTTCTTTTTGCTGTATCGAAAACGTACCGAACCGTGACTTAAAACCGAGTTACGTACCGAACCGTGATTTTTGTGTACCGTTACACCCCTAATCCTAACTCATAAAGTCCAAACATTATTAAAAACAAGTGAACAGTCAGTAATAAAGTAAGAACAAATACGCCAATTACAAGAAGAGATGAATACTGACAATGGTATTCAGGTACATAAATTAATTACGCTTAAATGTAAAATAACACCATTTGTTCACTGTAGACATTAAATATAGTTCCATCTTTGTTAAAGCTGTATTTTGTTGTTTTACTAACATTAATGACACAAAGTGACAGCACACACCTAATATTCCTACTGTTGTCCAAGCCCGACTGCACGGACCGAGAAAACTCAACGGTTCACTTAACGACACAACCGAGAGAATGCTTATCGAGACGGGTTTTTAGACATAATTTTGTGTTTGTGTCTGTTCAAGGAAATGCGAAAGAGGAATCAATTCGGTGGTCGAGCGCTGTCTGAAACGTGTCTCTCTCTCTTTGTTTGATCCTCTTCTTCTGTGTCTAAAATTGTTTGAATGTGTAAATTGGCAAGACAAAAAAAATCCAAATTATTAACTTTCACTGTATGATTGTTAAATTTAGCAGTTAAAATCTGCGAATCACACGCATGCCGAACCGTTGGCAGCTGGTCCGTATGATCGTGATCAAATTTCGTCCCTGGAGCCATTGCACTGAGGAATGAGTCAAAGCTATACTTTGCACTGGTGTTGCTTTTATGTATGTATTTATTTTTTTTAATTCAAATTTTGTCACGTCTTAAGTTGAATGAAGTGTGATATGTGCCCCGTTGTTTTCCATATGTGTGTATGAGGACTCCACTGCAAACAGAATCTACCTCCGGGTACAAATAAAGTTGAACTACGACCCGTTCCACCCCTATAAATCCAGATTTTTGAGGTGTAGTGTCTCACCTTCACAGCAAACTCCATGGCGGTGACCCTGTGTATGCAGCGTTTGCATATGGAGTATGAGCCCACGCCGATGTCCTCCTTCAGCTCGTACATGTCAGAAAACTGAGCGGAGCCAGCATGCATCTGACACAGCACACACTGCATTTAAAATCTACACATACATGTGTGCATACACACACTACCAATCAAAAGTTTGGTTTTTGTTTGTTAAAACATGTAATGATGTTCATCAAGGCTGCATTTATTTGATAAAAAAAAAAGTTTTTATATATTTTTTCCTGTGATGGCAGTTCCATTTTCTTTGTCTTCACTGTTAATTATTTTATTAGGCTCAAGAAGCTCATTTTTATTATTACAGCTGAAAATGGTTGCGTTGTGTTGCTTATTTTTGAAGAACAGCATTTACTAGAAACATAAATGTTTATTTCGTTATTTCTGGTTTATTTCGT